ATTTGTAATAAATTTGTAATAAAGAACACAGGGGCTCCCATATTCTTTGCAGCGTCACTTATTTCGCTAAGCTGAAAAGCAAAACACCACCGCCTACGTCTCCAGAGAACCCAAGAAGAGCCAATGGCCCATCTAGTCCAACATCCTGTTCTCACAGTGGCTGAACAGTTGCCTATTATGGGAAACCAGGAAGCCGGATCCAAGCACAAGAGCCTTCTCCCCTTCTGGGGTTTCCAGCAACTGGTATTCAGAAGCATTGCTGCTGCCAACTGAGCCTAGCCCTCCTGGCTAGTAGCCATAAATGCACCTTGCTTGCCACATGCAGAAGAGGGCAAACTTTGTCTGCTGCTCTCCTAACAGGTGGGAAGACACAAGGCTGGGGATGACGTTGCAACACAGGTTATTCCACAATCACACCCTCCGTTCTGCCAGGCTTTCAGATCCCTTCCCAGTCCCGAAATAGCCCTAGCAGCAAGGAAGGCTCCCTGACAGCCGAAACTCAAAGAGTAGAGCAACAGGGACAAAACTGTCCCTTTCAAACGGGCCCCTTTGTCTCAGCACCTTGGCAGCCGTTGGGGGCCTCAGCTGATCTGCCACAGAAGCTGGGAATGCTTTGCTAATTGCCCGGTCCAAGCTGTGCATGATGGCACAGGCTGTTCAGGGGAGGGAGAATGCAGGCAAGGCCCCCCCCCTCCTAAGGCCCCCCCCTGCTGCTGCTGGTAGTGTGGGGGGCTTCAATGGACACTGCTAATCACAGCCTGAGGTAGATAGTTTTTCACATTGGGCGGAAGCAAAGCGATGGGCAACTGTTTTCAGCTGAGCTGGTGAAACAAGGTGGGGAAAATGGAAGCAGAACGGATCCGGGCCTTTTGCACAGCCGTAGTTCTTGCAGGGAGGTTTAAGGTGGGGCCAGGGACCTCTCTCCTCTCTGCAACAAATCTGCTTTTCTCTTCCTCTTATCCCTGCCCTAACAGCTGCAGATATTTTTGCAGTAAATGTAGCACCAGGGGACTCTAAGCGGCTGCTGTGTAGCTGCCCTTCGCTCTTGCACAGTTAAAGGCAGGGTCATGTGCATTCCATGCGCCGGAACCACGGCAGTGCAGAATTTAATATTGGCCCTAGGTTGTCAGCTCTTCAAAACAAGTTTCTAGCCCTTATAGGAGCCAGAGATAAACTCGGAAACGGCTGCGCAATGGCTGGTGGCATCTCAGGGGCTGAATGGGTTTGAGTGCTCTCCATATCCCCATCAGAACCAGTGGTTCCTATTTACATAATCTACCCACATCACAAAATTCAAGCTACTTCATCACAGAAATATGGATGCGTGAGCACTGAGCGCTGAATCTACAAGGCTCAGTTAGAGCTGGAGACTAGTTTTCTAATCCAGTTAAGGAAAGTTTAGCGTCAAATTCAAATAGGCTGGACAATCAAATTCCACACCCAGCAAATGCCCACCCACAATTTTGCACACATCGCGTACTAATTTGGGTGGGAGCTTTTGTCAGCAGTAGGACTGATGGACAGTTTCTAAAAATATCTCGCTCACCCTCCAAAGCCTCAGCAGCAAAAAAAGGCAGCACAGAATATTTTCAACTCAATAAACCGGAATGTTCCCCTTTCCCATCTTTTACCAGCCATATTCCTGACAACAGTAATATCACTGCCCCCCAGCTGACAGGCCGCATCCCTGCCCCTGCTAAAATAGCTTCCTCCCACCCTTTTCAACCAATTCACCTTCTCTACTGGCCAAAAAGCACAGCCCCTTATTCCACATTCTTCCTTCCCCCTTGAGGCCAGTCCCACCACTGCCTAGACCTAAGGATGCTTAATCATGTATTTAGCCTGTACCAAGGATGACACAGGTCCAATAGGAACCCAAAGAGCAAGGTTAGCACTTCAAATCAAATTAGTTCCTTTAAAGATCTCTTATTCTTTTCCCGGGACGCGGGTGGCGCTGTGGGTTAAACCACAGAGCCCAGGACGACGATCAGAAGGTCGGCGGTTCGAATTCCCGTGACGGGGTGAGCTCCCGTTGCTCGGTCCCTGCTCCTCCTCACCTAGCAGTTTGAAAGCACGTCAAAGTGCAAGTAGATAAATAGGTACCACTCTGGCAGGAAGGTAAACGGCATTTTCATGCGCTGCTCTGGTTTGCCAGAAGCAGCTTAGTCATGCTGGCCACATGACCCGGAAGCTGTACGCCGGCTCCCTTGGCCAATAAAGCGAGATGAGCGCCGCAACCCCAGAGTCGTCTGCGACTGGACCTAATGGTCAGGGGTCCCTTTACATTTAGCATATTTTTTGCTCTATAAGACTCACTTTTCCCTCCTAAAAAGTAAGGGGAAATGTGTGTGCATCTTATGGAGCGAATGCAGGCTGTGCAGCTATCCCAGAAGCCAGAACAGCAAGAGGGATTGCTGCTTTCACTGCGCAGCGATCCCTTTTACTGTTCTGGCTTCTGAGAGTCAGAATATTTTTTTTCTTGTTTTCCTCCTCCAAAAACTAGGTGCGTCTTGTGGTCTGGTGCGTCTTATAGAGCGAAAAATACGGTGCCTTTTTATTCTTTTCCCACACCCTGCTGAGGTTCATATCAGTCTGGTCAGGTCCTTTCATCTAGTTTTTGTTTTCGTTTTTCTGCTGTCGAATACTGTATGTACACTTGACAAAGAATGCTGTACAGCTCAAAGGCTGTATTTGGAACCATCCTTAACATATTTACTGGATTCAGTAGGGCTTGCTCCCAGTAAAGTACGCATTGCAGGTGAACAGAAGCTTTGGCCCTCCAGATGTTGTTGAACTACATTTCCCATCAACCCTGGCCACTGGCCGTGCCAGCCTGGGTTGATGGGAGTTATAGTTCAACATCATATGGAGGGGCAAAGTTTCCCCACCCTTGATGTTCAGGATTGCAGACTGAGGCTACAGCTCTCAGTGGGACAGGCTGCGGAATGGCCATGCTGAGGACTGCATTGAAATTTAGTCAAATAAAAGGGATCACATTATTTGCACTGTATCTCCGGGTTTGGGGGCAGGCATGAATATTAGGACTCACACCACATTTTAAATTTAAACCTCTGCCCCCCAAAAGCCTTTGGAGAAAACTCACGCCCCCAACTTAAATATGAAACTTAAATATGTGGGAACCATCACAATTTGCTATTTTGCTTATTTCTCCTCCGCCTCCCTCCATGCACATTGTTGGACGTTTTGGAACAGGCGAAATAGACAGTCCCCTGCCCTGAGCAGTTTACAATCGAATCTTCATTAGGGCAGTTGGTTTACTAGACCAAGCAGCACGTTGCAGGAATACAGAACTCTTTTATCAGGCTAGATGGTAAACATTGACAGGAATGGGTAAACAGGGAGGAAAGGGATATCAAGGGCTACTTGCCCACAGACTGTCTTGCCAGAGTGGTGCATGCTCTAGTTATCTCCCGCTTGGACTACTGCAATGAGCTCTACGTGGGGCTACCTTTGAAGGTGACCTGGAAACTGCAACTAATCCAGAATGCGGCAGCTAGACTGGTGACTGGGAGTGGCCGCCGAGACCACATAACACCTGTCTTGAAACATCTACCGTACATTGGCTCCCAGTACGTTTCCGAGCACAATTCAAAGTGTTGGTGCTGACCTTTAAAGCCCTAAACGGCCTCGGTCCAGTATACCTGAAGGAGCATCTCCATCCCCATCGTTCTGCCCGGACACTGAGGTCCAGCGCCGAGGGCCTTCTGGCAGTTCCTTCACTGCAAGAAGCCAAGTTACAGGGAACCAGGCAGAGGGTCTTCTCGGTGGTGGCGCCCGCCCTGTGGAACGCCCTCCCACCAGATGTCAGAGAGATAAACAACTACCTGACATTCAGAAGACATCTGAAGGCAGCCCTGTTCAGGGAACTTTTAAATGTGTAACATTTTAGTGTATTTTTGGTCTTTGTTGGAAGCCGCCCGGAGTGGCTGGGGAAACCCAGCAAGATGGGTGGGGTACAAATAATAAATTATTATTATTATTATTATTATTAAGCCATGATGGCTCTGCTCTGACTCCACAGTTGGAGACGGCAATGCTTCTGCATACCAGCTGCTGGAAACCACAGGAAGGGAGAGAGGTCTTGGGTTCAAATCCTGATTGCCAGTTTCCCATCTAGTTGGCTGCTTTGAAAACAGGGCGCTGGACTTGACGGGTCAGTGGGACTCTGTGTGTCATTATCTGCTTACCATCCAGCCCAATCAAGTCGTGCACACATTATTCTGTAACCATGTGTCTGCCAGCTTTCCCTTAGAATCACGAAATGGTAGAGTCGGAAGGGACCCCATGGTTCATCTAGTCCAACCCCTTGCAGTGCAGGAGTCCCAGCTAAAGCATCCATGACAGATAGACACTTCTTCTTTTCTACATGTCATTCCAAAAAAAGCACCAATGTATACTGATAGCGCTATGGAGACGAATACCCACCTACCGCATACACTTCAGTTCTGGGTCGCTCATCCCGCAGGGCCAACACTGCTGCGATCGGCCTGAACAGAGCTTTTTGTCGGGCAGTTGGGAAAAAATATATCATCTGGGAAGCAGCGGCTGCTGCCACCAACCCACTCAGGTGAGAAGCCCTTTCCTCAGTGGGCTGAGCAGGGGGGACGGGGGACGACAGCCTACTTGATCCTGGCTAGAACACTCACAGCACCTCCTTTAAGGCATATATATCTACACTACAGACTAAAGTGGTGCAATGGCCACACCCCCTCCCCCAAGGAACCCTGGGAACTGTAGTTCCGTGAGGGGGGGTTCCCTTTAGCAGAACACTGTCGGTGACCTTGACCCGACTACAATCCCCAGGGATCTTTGGGGAGGGGAACGCTAAGAAGAGGTATAGAAACCAAGATAGGACTGCAATGTAGGTAACATGTCCTTAGAGACCGGCTCCTTGGCTTGGCGTACTAACGGTGCGTGCTCCGCCTTTTATGCCCGCAGGGCTTGGAAGAAGACCCATTCATTCCTGGAAGCCCTCCTTGTCAATGTCAAATCTACACATATTTAAATGAGGGGACGCGTGTCGCGAGAAAACGGACACCCAATGGAGATGGACGAGGAACGAGACGGGCGGTCATGTTTTTGAGGGCTAAATCTGCTCTCGTTTCAGCCCCATGGTCTGTTTACAGAAGGGTCTGTTTATATTACCAATGTGCCCCAGACCAGCCTTCTCTGGTACCCTCCAGGTGTTTGGGGTGATGGGAGTTGTAGCCCAAAACTTCTGGAAGGCACCAGGGAAGGGAAGGTGGCCCCGGACCCTCGCATCAAACCGACACAGATGCCAGCAGGTAGCACACAGCCCCTGAAGGCCCATCGCCAGCCCCTATGAGCCACTCCTATCTCCCTCCCAGAAGCCATCTTTTGACTCTCCAGCACCCCTTAGCATCCCCAGAATCAACGGCGCCACCTGCCCACAGCTTAACTTGGACCCCATCATCACTGCCCAGCCACTCTTAGGCGGCCTATTCTCCCCATTGCCCAACAACCAGAGGGTCAGCAAATAATCCACAGACTTGAGAGGCCTTAGCTACCTGGGCTCAGGTGAACAGGTGAGGTATTTTGGGAGAGACCACAGGGCCTCCTTCACAGGGGCGCATCTAGGGGGTGGGTGGCATCCCCCCCTATTCAAGGCAGGAGGAGAAACAGCACACCCTGCCTGAGGCATGGGGAGGGGGATGAGAAGAAACCTTACGGCCGGGCAGCAAGACTGCGGAGGAGAGATAGCACCAATTGGCCTCAATCCAGCTCACCCCTGTCTCTGGAGGAGTTGGGGACCAGGAGTCGTCAGTGCTGTGTGTGTGTAAGTTGGGGGGACAGAAAGAAAGACCAAATCAAAGTTGCTGACGAGACATTGGGGTCAAGACGCTGCTTTCTGGGCCTCCGTCGCCTCGCCCTAAAGATGGCGGGGAGAGGACCACAAGGCCAGCTCGCTCTGGCTGCTGAGGAGCCAGGCGTGGCCCTCGGGGTCGGGAAGGGCCCCTGCAGTGTGGCTCCAGGCCCCCACGGGAGGGGGGGCTCCGCTTTACACCGTGGTCTCATACTCCAGCAGCTCCTGAGAGACCCCCACCGTGCGGTACTGCAGGCGCGGAGTAGCGGGCGAGGTGTACTCCAACGCCAGGATGGTCTTTCGGAGGCGCCTGTCGATGAAGTGGGCATCCCAGGCGGGGTATTTCTTGCGGGGCAAGTCGATGCGGATGACGGGCCCCTCTGTCCGTGGGGCCCGGGCGACGGGTGTGGGGGGGACACTGGGCCTCACCTGGAAGACCGGCACGCAGCTGTCTCTGTCCCCCGGCACGCCCTCCCTCTCGGCCCCTGTAGTCCTCGGCAAGGAGCGCGGGGGGCTGGTGACGACGTCGGCCGGGGGCCCCACCCCGCAAGGGACCGCTGTGGGCTCCTCGCCGCACACGCAGCCCCCGCCGCGCGGCCCGAAAATGGTTCCGTTGGGGTGCAAGAGGCAGTAGTAGATGAACATGAAGAAGACCCCTAAGGCGAAACTGGAGGTGACCACGCAGACGACAATTAAGGCGTTGGACTCGGGGACCCCGCTCTGGTCCCTGAACCAGTACCAGAGGCCCGTCATGGCGGCGTTCTCCGACAGGATGATGACATAGTAGATGGACATGCGGCAGCGGCTGCGGCCTTCCTTGACGTTGAACCAGCAGAAGATGTAGATGATGCCCACCACCATGTTGTAGATGATCTCCTCCCACTTGGACATGCAGAAATCCGTCTCGCCTTGGATGATCCAGAAGGTCATGATGCACCAGTGGGTGACGATGAAGATCCCAAAGTAGAGGTGGAACACCGAGGCGAAGAGGGCGAAGGCGATGGCCCGGGCGGCGATGGTGAAGAGGTGCCAGAGGATTTGTGTCACCGCCCCCTTGTAGGACATGGGCATCTTGTCTTCCCGGGAGTCCCGCAGCACCTTTTGGTAAGAAGCCAGCGTCCAGGCCAGGGACACCAGCGAGGCGGAAGCCGAGAGACCTGCCCAGGTGAGAGAGAGAGAGAGAGAGAAAGGGAAAGCCGGGAATTAGGGGGAAGAGAAACGGTCTTACTGAGGGATCGCAGGGAGAGAGAGAGAGAGAGGGAGGTGGAGACAGGAAGGCTGGTGTCCAAGAGGAGGACAGGGAGACAGAGGTCGTGGAGAAAGACTGGAGCGATGGAAGGATGAGCAGGAGGATGCTGGTACTAGCCTGAGTCTGTATGCATGTGAGAAAGGCACACAGGCAGGAAGAACGGAGTCGTGGTTTAGGAAATGTCAAGAACAGGAGCCAATCGTGGTGTGGTGGTTAGAGTGTTGGACTAGGGTTTATGGGAGGCTGGGGTTCAGATCCCCACTTGTTGGCCATGAAACTCACTGGGAGTGACCTTGGATGCCAGTCCTTGCTTCCCAGCCTAAACTGCCTCACAGGGTTGTTGTTGAGGATCAAACGGAGAGGGGGAGAATTGTCTGTGCACCCTGAGCTCCTTTGAGAAAACATGGGATGCAAGGAAATCAATAGATAAGAGGGGATTGGGTCACAACTTTGTGGCCGCGTCTGTAATGCTGGTCATGCCCACCTCAAGGAAATATATAGCGCACAGAGAGAGACGAGCTGTAGGAGGGTGGAGCAGTTTGGAAAGAAAAGAGGGGGACACCCTGTAACGATCAGGAGGCCAGCGCAGTGCAAACACGCTGGCAGAAGATCTTCTTTGTCACCTTCAGCATCATGCCCCTCTCTCTCCCAGTGATGCTGGGAGAAGGAATCTGTTCCTTATGAAGCATTTGACCTGCTTAGGGTGAGGGGCGGAGGAGCTGAGGGGCACAGGAGAGATTTGTGGAAGTATGGAGAGAGCATTGTGTTTTGCCTCCTCTTAAAACCCCCCACTAGAGGTGCATTTGCACTGCACCGGACTTCCCATTTCCTAAAACTAACTATTATTCTATGCTCTGGCCCAGCATAGTCATTTTTATTGTGGAAACAGGAAGCATGATTAGAGGGTGCGGGGAAGATGGAGAGAGAACAGAAAGAAGGTGACAGCCTGAAAATGGAAAGAAAGAGGTAAAATTGCAGGTGTACAATTGCAGGAGCAACAGCAAGGTGGAGAAAGTGAGCACTACAGGGTAAAGGATTGAGGGACAGGAAGAGATACAACATTTCTGAAAATTTTGAAGGTGTGGAAAATATAACATTTTTTTACCTCTCTTTCTTTTTTAAAAAAATATGGAAATGCTTGAGGTGAAATGAAATAATCGCAGCATTGACTTGGTTGTTAATATCAACTATCAGGTGCAAATGCTGTTACAGTCACACATCACCTGCCCAAAAACGATAGCTGGATTTGTGCAAAGGGCTCTGGGGGGGGGAAAAGAGTGGAATTCTAGCCATGTTTGCTCAGAAGTAAGCCTCAGCATGCTCAGTTCCTATGATAGTTATGGAAAGGCAAAAGTGATGCTGTGCTCCCCAGTTACTGAATCAAATCCTCCTCCCATCACTTGGTCGGGAATCTGTTAACGGGAACAACAGACAAGTTGCTCACAGAGTGTTTGTTCTGATTTGTTTTTAGGGAGGTTAGATGAGGTTGCATCAAAGCCAGCATCATCCCAAACTTTCTGTTATGTACTAGGTTGAATAGGATCCAGAATGCAGCAGTCTGATTGGTCCTAGAACAATAGGATTCAGAATGCAGCAGTCTGATTGGTCCTAGAACAATAGGGTCCAGAATGCAGCAGTCTGATTGGTCCACAGGAGCCACCCAATCCAGCTCCAGGTGGAAGTGAATCCGCAACCTGATTGGCCTACAGGTGAATCCTGGAATCAGCCAATCACGTGGGGCCCATTGTGTAAATAATGTATATAAAGCAGACATTCTGGGGGAACTTCCATTCCTCCTCACCACTATGAGCTGAATAAAGAGCATGAAATCCACTCTCGACTCCAAGTATATTTCATTTTCCTAGTGCATTTTCCAATTTCCTTATCACAAAACAAAAAACACCGCATCTTTTGGAGAAGTGGGCTGGCAGTACAAGGCCTCCAAATCAGCTGTGCAGGCATCCCCGTACTTAGGTGCAATCAACTTAAATCACCACCGGTTTGGTGAGGGCTGCTGCCCTTAGATGGGCTTTGAGGGGGCTTCTCCGCAGGCTCCACTCACCCTGCAAAGGATCAATCCTGTTCTGCTGCACCATGATGCTGAGCTGCAGCACCAGCTGCGGGGCGCTTTTGAGGAAGGTCTCCAGGAGCCGCAGCATGCTGATGTCGGCGCTTTCGAACATCATCCTCCAGTAGAAGTGCCGCCGGCGATGCTCCGACTGCCAGCGGCTCTGGAGACCCAGGTAGAGGGTCCGCAGGTACCTGCGCAAAAGAGAGAGGGGGCATGCAGAAGACAGCAGGTGAAGACTGGAGATCCGAAAGCCTGCGGGGACCAAACTGCAAATTATTGAAATGGGATCAGGAGTCTTATTTCTTGCACCTCTAGAGGGAGCTGCTGGCCTGATGTCCAGGGCCACAGAGCGCCACCGCTGCAGCTGGCCGGAAAGTGTAGCGCAGTTTCCATCCCAGCAAGGATCAGGTGATCGCACTAAGCCAATATGGTTGCATTTGGCCTCGTATAACTGCTGGCTCCTGCTTGGCAGGGGCGTATGAAGGGGGGGCGGGCAAGATGGCCCACTGCCCCCCCAGCTGTAGAGCAACCGAGGGCACGCTGCACATGCGTTGTCCATACAGGCTGCCGCTTGAGCATCGTCCATTCGGGCACCGCGCATGCGCCATCTGTATGGGCATTGCGCATGCGCCGCCAGGAGGTTTGCCCTGCCCCGGGTGCCAGAGAGGTTTCCTCTACCACTGCTGTTTGGTTGCTCAATTCGAGCAAGAAGCTCTGATCCGTCTAGTTGGAATCCTCCTTGAAAGTCTGCTGCAAAGGTGGGGAACCTGCAACACTCAGGTGCCATTGGACTCCAGCTCCCATCAGCCCCTGCAGTCAACATGGGACAATGGTCAGGGAAGATTGACGTTGTAATCCAGCAAGGACGGGAGGGTCTCAGGTTCCTCACCTGTGCTCTGCCAAGCTGTCTGAGAACCTCCAGCTTGGCTTCTAAGTGGGTGGGGTCCCGCTTCTGCTCAGCTTGGTTCAAATAAATAAGTAAATGCACATCCTGCTGTTCTATGGTCACACAAAGCCCTCACAAGATAGCAACAATTTATACTTGGGATGGTGATTGCACAATTGTTCATACAGCACCACTATGTGAATCCCATAAGCAAGTAGACTGGGTCCTTGCCCTAGGAGTTTACTAAGAAGAGAAGAGGAAGGGGAAGTGCCCAGGGAACAAAGGGTTAATGTGAGCCAATGCCTTCTCAGGTACTGAAGCTGCATCCTGGTTGAGCTGGATGTGAAACACAAGAGCAGTCAAGTACAACATTCCTAGATTGAACATGTTTACACATGGGGAGGAATGTTTGTCCAGCCAGCAGGAAAACATCCTGTTTCCTTCTGGGCTGGGACAGACTTCCTCTGCATGTGACTAGAGGTGGGCGTGGCCTCACCTGTGCAGGTAACGACAAAAGCACAGGGCAGGGCAGCCATCTCTCTCTTTGACTACATGCATCAAAGAAGCAACATCTGCTTAGCCAAAGAGGCTCTCTGTCTCCTAATGAGATAGTTTCCAGGTGTATGTTACTTTTCTAAGCTAAGTCTGCCTTCTGGGATCCGATTGTGAACAGAATGATGTGTGAGTAAACCTTTTTATACTTTTATAGAAGACGGTGTCGTGTCTTATCTTTTATGAGGGGAAAAGGGGGAAATACCAGAACAGTTATTATAGAGGCTTTAGCGAGCCTGAGCAAACGCATTCCGCTGTGAGTTTAAAAAGGGGAATGTTACTCTGCTAAATTGCGAACTTGTTAACACAAGTTGGAAAGGCTATTCTCAGACAATATATCCTCTCCTGCATCCCTGAACATTCCACAAGAAGCGGCACCAACAGAGGTGTCTTATGATGAGACAGGACACTGATTTGTCTGGCTCCGTACTGCTGACACCGACTCGAACTCCCTGTGGGAGGATTTGCAGACAAAATCACAAAGGCATGATTGCTAGACAATTGCAAACCGGGACGAAGGTAGCCTGCTGTTTCAGAACCTAAATGGAGGGGACTCTATGACATCATACTTCCAAACCTGGTGGTGGGGGAAAATACAGTGGTACCTCAGGTTACATACGCTTCAAGTTACATACGCTTCAGGTTACATACGCTTCAGGTTACAGACTCCGCTAACCCAGAAATAGTGCTTCAGGTTAAGAACTTTGCTTGAGGATGAGAACAGAAATCGTGCTCCGGCGGCATGGCAGCAGCAGGAGGCCCCATTAGCTAAAGTGGTGCTTCAGGTTAAGAACAGTTTCAGGTTAAGTACAGACCTCTGGAACGAATTAAGTACTTAACCAGAGGTTCCACTGTACAATGGGTTAATTCCTACCTGCAACTCACACACTTTTTTCTATTTGCAATGGATGAAGACAGTATCTTTGTTCTCCTCCAGAGAGCAATTGCCATTTTGAGCTGGACTATGGATATTTGTAACATTTTGGGATTATTGCCTACCTGATTTTCATCACTGTATATGTATATGCATCCTAACAAGACTTTTGATGTGAGTAAACCTTGTGGTTTTTTTGTGGTGGTGGCGTGAAGGAACTTTGGCTCCTAGGAGTTTCCTCCTATGATTTCCAGTGAGATCTCATGAGCTCACCCCCAAATCTCACAAGATCTCACCCCAAACTGCCACCACTTCCCACAGCCGCAACACAACCTAGGTAAAGGATGCTTCAACAGGGGTGGCAGAAGGGCAGGGATACAGTTTCCATTTCTCCTTAAGAAAATCAACAACCAGGAGTGGTTTTTTCACCATCCCTTTCACTTTTAGAATCATAAAATCATAGAGTTGGAAATGTCCCCAAAGGTCATCTAGCCCATCCCCCCTGCGATGCAGAAATCGTGACTAAAGTTTCCCTGCCAGGTGACCATCTGTTTACAAACCTCCAGTGAAGGAGAGTCCGCCATCTTTAAAAGCCCAAGAGCCATGCCAGGTGAAAGAGGCAGCTCCGATCACTTGTTACCAACAGAGCAGGCTTGTGTCTGTTGGTCATCCTGCACTTCCTTTGCACGGCTGTCTCCTGTCCTCCAGCGGCACTCATACCTGTTGCAGGGAGATCCTCCCTCAGGCCAGCTGTAGGCGGAAAATTAGTTTGCGTGGAGAAGGAAGGACGTCTGTAGAACGTTTGTCTGTCTCCCTCTAGGTCTGCCAGCTCCAGAACCAACCTTCACCCGACTTCTAGTGAAACACCCATCAAATGGGTGCTGTGATGGGGAGGAGATTTTATAGACAGCTCATTGCACTGATCAAATGTGCCAGAGAAGGAGGCAGGAACAGCTGGTCTCCTAGAGCCACATGGAGCTGTAGCACTGTACGCCTCGCAGGGCCGGGTGACGACAGGATCCTTGGCTCCTGCTGCCGACGACTGTGTCGACCATCTGCCCGTCAATCTGCACTTCGTGTAGGTGTTTGGGGGAGAAGTAGTTCTGCTGCTACCCAAAAAAGGCTTTTCTTTTAGGTGTTTATTGCAAATACTGACACACTCGTCCCTGCTTCCACCGCACCTCTGCTGCAACGCTTTCCCTGCACCCCATCTTTCTGAAAGGTTCCCCGAACCAGAAAAGGTTCCACAGAGTCAAGTGCAAATATTCTGTTGTCGTCGTCACAGTGCTAAAGATTCCAGGCCAGTTCAGCGGCACGCTCTCTGCAAGCGACATATTGCTCCATCTGCATGTTGCAAGTCACTGTTTGGGGTGCCGTGACAGCTGATGGGGCGAACACCATTTCATGTATGTAGGGCTTAGGCCCAGGCTATTCTAAATGGTGAATTCTGGTGCTGGAGGAGACTCTTGAGAGTCCCATGGACTGCAAGAAGATCCAACCTCTCCATTCTGAAGGGAATCAGCCCTGAGTGCTCCCTGGAAGGACAGATCCTGAAGCTGAGGCTCCAAGACTTTGGCCACCTCAGGAGAAGAGGAGACTCCCTGGAAAAGACCCTGATGCTGGGAAAGATGGAGGGCACAAGGAGAAGGGGACGACAGAGGGCGAGATGGTTGGACAGTGTTCTCGAAGCTACCAGCATGAGTTTGACCAAACTGTGGGAGGCAGTGGAAGACAGGAGTGCCTGGCGTGCTCTGGTCCAGGGGGTCACGAAGAGTCGGACACGACTAAACAACTCAACAACAACAACAATTCTAGGCTGCATCAGCAGAAGTACAGTGTCCAAGAAAAGCTCACCAAATGCTGCTGAAATCTCTTCCTCTCAGTCTTCTCCCGCTTCTCCCTTTGACCACTCATCACCATCCCACCCCCAACCCCCTGGCTCTGAGTTTTCTTCCCTTGGGGGTTCCCCAGCTGCTGCCTTCCACTCCTCCGTGTCCAGCCAGTCCATGACAGCTAGTACAGTGGAACCTCGGTTCTTGAACGTCTCTGTTGACGAACGTTTTGGAACCCGAACGCCGGAGGCTGTGGAAGACAGGAGTGCCTGGCGTGCTCTGGTCCAGGGGGTCATGAAGAGTCGGACATGACTAAATGACTAAACAACAACATTCTAAACAGCAGATTTCTCCCACAAAAAGAAAAAGAGAAGTGAGATTTATACCTGATCCTGGAGCCCAGTGCAGTGCAGGGAGAGAGATCTGAAGGACCGTATTATCCCAAACCTCCCATACAAATCTGCCCCGGCTCTAAGGTCTTTAGGGGAGCACTGTGATGTAGCAGCAAAAAAAGCTAATGCTATCCTAGGCTGCACCCACAGAAGTGGGCATCACATATTAGAAAGAATGTTGACAAGCTGGAACATGGGCAGAGGAGGGCAACTAGGATGACCAAGGGCCTGGAAAACCAAGCTTTATGAGGAGGATTGCTTGAGGAATTGAGTTTGTTTAGTACTCAAGAGTACTGAGAGGAGATATGATGTTGTTTGTTCTTCTTGCAATCCATGGGACTCTCAAGAGTCTCCTCCAGCACCATAATTCAAAAGCATCAATTCTTCGGAGATATGATAGCCATCTTCAACTATCAAAAGGATCGTCATGTGGAGGATGGAAAAAGCTTGTTTTCTCCTGCTCTGCAGGGTAGGACCCAAATCAACAGATTCAAGTGACAAGAAAGGAGATTCTGACTAAACACCAGGCAGACATTCCTGAGAGTAAGAGCTATTTGACAGTGGAAAGGACTATCTTGGGAGGTTGTGATTCAAGCAGAGGTTAGATGGCCACCTGTCATGTATGATCTAGTTGAGATTCCTGCATTGCAGGGGG